TCTTTCCCTCGCCCTCTCACCCTGTGTCTCTCCAGTGAGCGCAGGTGCCCAGCGGGGGAACTAGAAAGAAAGAAAGAAAACCACAGGGCCTCCCGGGGCACCCCCCACTGCTCCCTGGACCCCTCCCACCTCCGGGGGCTGGGGGCGTCTGGGGCGAGCCCGCGTCCCCTTGGAAGGCCGCAGTGTGCCGTGGGAGGGGTGAGGACGGCGAGGCCAGGCAGCGAGTCCCAGACCCCGCACTGAGGTGTCTGCCTGGGGTGCCTGTCATGTCAGGACCATGCTACACACGTGTGAGCGTGTGCGTGCGCTCACAGATGCAGGCGTGCCTGTGTGGCTGTGCAGGAGGATCACCCGGGTGTGCACGTGAGTGTGCGTGCAGGCGTGCACGTGTGCATGTGTGCGTGCAGGTGTGCTGGTGTGTGCGTGTGTACACAGCACACGTGTGCATGTTAGTGTGCCTGTACGTGCACATCCCGTGTCAACGCCCCAGGAATGTGGCTAGCATCCTAGCAGTGGAGCCCTGGTCTTGGCGGCTCTTCCCAGAAGTGTGTGCCTGCCGTGTCCCCAGGCTACGTGGACGAGTGTGCCAGGAGCTCCTCCGTGGACTACTTCTGGTACCGAGAGACCCTCAACATCTCCACGTCTATCGACGACTCGGGCTCCATCCAGTGGTGGGTCCTGCTCTGTCTGACCTGCGCCTGGAGTGTGCTCTACGTGTGCACCATCCGCGGCATCGAGACCACCGGCAAGGTGCACTGGGCGGGACCAGGGAGAGGGTGTGTGCAGTGTGAGGGCCAGGCTCAGCGGGAACGCAGGCAGACCGGAAGGCCAACGTGGCATGCTTCCTCCTGGCTACATGGCGGAGGCCTGGGTCCCCACGCACCGCTGACACGCTGCTGCCTGCAGGCTGTGTACGTCACGTCCACACTGCCCTATGTTGTCCTGACCATCTTCCTCGTGCGTGGCCTGACGCTGAAGGGTGCCACCAACGGCATCGTCTTCCTCTTCACGCCCAATGTGAGTCCCGCGGCCCCAAGCACCAAGCCCCGAGGGCCACTGGCCAGATCTGCTCCCGCCCAGGAGGTGCCCAGAGGCTGGCCAGGGCCCGCGTGTGCCCCAGGGACAGCCCCTCGGCGTCCGGCGCGTCTGAGGTCCCCATCCCATGCAGGTCACAGAGCTGGCCAACCCGGTCACCTGGCTGGACGCAGGTGCCCAGGTCTTCTACTCCTTCTCCCTGGCCTTCGGGGGGCTCATCTCCTTCTCCAGCTACAACTCGGTGCAGTGAGTGCCCCCACACCCGCCCGCCGTGCCCGGGCCTCTGGCCGCACATGCAGTGACAGCTTGTACCGCTTCCCTGGGCAGTCCCTGGGGTCCTCGGGAGGAAGCGGTTGGTGCCAGCTCACTTCCACACCCTATGGAGCACCCGCCACATGGGCCAGGACCTGTCCCGTCCCGGGTGACAAGCGGGCAGGATGCTCCAACAGAGAGGCTGCAGGTGCCAGGAGGCAGAGCAGGACGCAAGGGCAGTGGGGCGGCCAGGGCTCTGGGTCAGCTGGAACTCCTGGTGGAGAAGGCACAGTTCCACAAGGCTCGGACGCTAAGCCCTTGGCCAGCGCAGAGCCCCGCAGGCCAGCCAGGGGAGGGCAGGGGAAAGTGGACGGGGCCTGGTGTGCCTGGACAGGGATGGGTATGGCCCGTGCAGGGCTGAGGGCCAGGCGTGGTGGGGGTGTGCTTTGAGCCAGCACCGGGGAGTGTGGTGAGGGTGAGGGTGATGGTGAGGGTGAGGGTGAGGGTGGAGTGGGTGCTGGGCCTGCCAGGTCTCCGGGAGAGCTAGGGGCAGGGCACCGGTCTGAGGGCTGATGCCACGGCTGGCGGTGGGGGCTGCGGGTGCTCTCGAGGTGCCTGCTCAGGGGTTTCTGCCCTCACAGCCGAGCGTCCATGGCTGCACCAGCCGGGGCGTTCTGATCACACACAAACCTCCCTTGCGTCTCCCCAACCCTGTTCCCGCTCAGGCAGGCGCTGGCCCTGGTCTCTGCGGGCCGCTGTCCTGGACACCTCCTATAAGTGGGCTCACGGGCGTCTGCTGCCCCCATCCTCTGCACGGCCCGCCTGGGGCTTCACGTCCGTGGCCGAGTGACACCCACCATACAGGCTTGCCCGCATGCTCTCCTGGTATGGCCGCTCAGGCCGCCTCGACCTGGGGGCTGTCGGAGAAGCACCACTGTGAGCACAAGGGCATCTCTATGTGGGTGACATCTCGAGGGCCTGCCCGAGGAGCAGGACTGCTGGGCCATCGGTGACTTCGCAGGGTCTGAGGGTCGCAGCTGTGTCACCCACACCCTGACCAGCGTGTGTATGTGGTCTTGTCCTACCACCTCGTGGGCACCCCCTTGCAGTTTATTGGTGTCTCCCCTGAGGACTGACACACTGGGCTCTTGGTGGAAGTTTCTGGAAGGATGGCATTAGCATCAGCTGAGAGGGGGTGGGGGAGTCAGAGGGTGAACTGGGCGGCCGCTGCAGTCCCAACGTGCTGAGTGAGGGAGCCCATCGGGAAAGGGGCCCTCGCCTGCAGCCCACCCTGCCCTGGGTGGTGCCCACTGGGCCCTGTGGTCTGGAGCCATCACCAGGGGCCTCAGACTGAAAGAGGCCTGGAAAGGCTGAGGATGAGGGAAATGTGGCCCGGGCTTGGGCAGGGGTGGAGGAGCAGGGCCCAACAGGCACGATCCTGTGGAGGGCACGACTCGTGCCTCCTATGGGCCAGGGCCTGCCTCTGCGCCCTCGCCTGAGCACGCCCAGGGCCATGCTGAGAAACACAGGGTGGTGGGTGCGGGTCAGGTGCTGGCAGAGTGCCTGGCCAGGGGCACAAATGCTGTGACACCCACGGTGCCACGCCATGACCCCACGCTGGACAAGGCCTGGACAGAGCCGCCCAGATCTGTTTGCGTCCTTTGCCTCTTCACCTGGAGGGCACACCTGTGGGCCAGCAGCTCTGGGGCTCACGGCTCACAGACAGAGCCCACGTCTCCAGGGAACACGCAGGGAAGGTGGGTAGGCGGGCTGCAGGGCCATGGCCAGGCCCTCCCTGGAGTCCAGCTCTCCCTGCCTGGCCCACAGCACGACAGGCCTGGCTGGGACTGGGCACAGGCTGCTGGCTGCCCAGCGGGACACCCTAGCCTAGGCATTGGCTCCAGCGGCCTACAGAGGGTGACGCTGCTCTGTCCCCAGCAACAACTGCGAGATGGACTCTGTGATCGTGTCTGTCATCAACGGCTTCACATCTGTGTATGCGGCCACTGTGGTCTACTCCATCATCGGCTTCCGAGCCACCGAGCGCTACGACGACTGCTTCGACACGTGAGTCGGGTCCTCAGGCGAGCGCCGCTGTGCCCACAGTGCGTCCACCTTCCCGCCAACCTCGCCATCCTGTGCAGGAACATCCTGACGCTCGTCAACGCGTTCGACCTGCAGGAGGGCAGCGTGACGCAGGAGAACTTCACGGAGTTGCAGCGATGGTACAACAGGACTCAACACGACACCTACGCGCAGCTGCAGTTCCAGGACTGCGACATCAACTCCTTCCTTTCAGAGGTGAGCCCCGGGCGGCTCTCCAGGTACCCCAGAGCTGTAGAGCCCTGAAGCTGGGCGGGACGTCTGTCCGTGTCCCCTGCCCCGTGGGGACCACTGCCAGCCTGCTCCTACCTCTGCCCAGACCCCGCCCGGGGCCATCTGCAGAAGTGAAGA